TGTTCAATACTTATTTTACCCGCTGTATATCTTTTATTATTAATTTTGTTTGATTTTGTTTATTCATTTGATTTGACTCAGTCCTTTATTATTTGACTGAGCACCAGGAGCAGGATTTTTAACTGTCACAGCTCTGAGGATTTCTTTCTTTCTTTTTTTTCCTTCTGTTGACTAAAGAAGAGAGATGACGTTAACACCTCATATAAATAGTTACATACCTCACAGAACATTACCACTTGTACAACTGAGACATGCTGTTTCTCATCAGCACTTAAAGTTCATTTTCCATGCATGGTATTGAAATTGTCATTTTTTTGCAAGATACTGCTGTGGTGTTTTCTGTTTTTCCAGAAGGACACCAAGCTGATTCTGTTACATGGACTTTGGACTCAAATTCTTGGACAGGACTCATAAATCTGTACAGGATCGGCAGTACAAAGGACTTGGACTCTGAGTTGTGATGGCTCAAACATTTTTGCCACAGAAAAGGACTGAATCCAGACACCATGGGTGACAGAAAACAAAAACTACCATCGTTAAGAACTCTTATACTCTTCTTTATGTGTTTATCTTCCTTATATCATACTGTTTGATGTGACAATCATTTACTGTGCATTACTTGTTATTTTGACTGTCATATTATGATCAACTTATGTAGTAAGCTGAGTCTCATGGAAATATCTAAATCACTTTGTGTTAATGCATGACTCACATTACATTTGTCCTTACTAGCATAGGTAACAAACTGGGATGATATTGGCATTGAAAAGTCCCTAAAATTAGTTTATGGTAACTGTTAGGTTCAAACGGAGATTTCCTTCACAGATTGGCATGGAGTGAGGATTTCTCTGGGACCTGCGTTCTTTTCTCCACCCCTGTTTCATTGGGAGGTTTTTCTGATCGTAATGGGTCATTTTAGGCGGATTTCAACGAGTCAACCTTCAGGTCCCCTGCAGTGACACAGATTTTTAAATGAGTATGCATGGATTATTTGTCCATGTCAGTCATGGAGGTGTTTACAGTCAGGAGGCCTGGGGGTGTGGCTGATGTAGCCGAATTTGACCTTATTAGAAAATTAGGCTTAGTTTACCTACTTTTAAWGTAATTTAAAATAATGTGCGCTTAGGACTTAAAATGGGTTATTAGCTAAATTAGACAACCTCTAAATTGTAGACTGAAATGCTTACTTATTTGCTAATGGACAAATGATAATATACAATAAAATTGAACAGCAAAGTTTTTGTGATGCAGTAGCTAAGGCGTTACCTTTTCTCGGTTTACAGCCAATCCTTTGTTTTTTTTACGGGACTAAATTTGTCCCGAAGGGGGGATTATGTAGTGTCTAAAAGTGGGGGCCTCTTTTCAGGAATGCACAGATGTACTGTGTCTCTCTTAGTCTCCAGCTTCAGAGCTCGGCACATTACCATATTAGGAAAGGAATGCTTAAGGTATACCGTGACAAAATTTATGGTACATCTGTTGGACTGCACTGTGAAACCTATAAAAAGGCTTGTACGCCCCTACTCTTCGCCTTCGTTTTCATCTTTTTGCTGTTGATTCATTTGGCTTAGAAGGCCACGATTTGGTTTTTTGGCTGTAAATCTCTTGGACTGCAAAATAAAGATTCTTACTGTTCAACCAGCCTGTTTCAGAGTTTCTCTCTTCAGGAGCAGCAGCAGTTTGCAGAACCAAGAAGACGTGGTTTTTACACCTCAGTAGCCTGTGACCGGACTGTCTAGTGAAAGGTATGAGACCAAGTAGGTCAGAAACAATCTCAAAATAGTTTTATAGATAAAAATGTACCAGTGTATGAGCCTACGAATTGTTAATGATGGCCAGCATACCTGAGAATATAAAGTGCAGTGATGAGTGAAAGACATGCATCCTGTTATGAACCTTAAAGGCACAGTATGTAGGATTTGTTGTTTTCAGCGACATCTAGTGGTTGAATCATCCTCCCTTCCCCCACCCCCAACTTCCAAACACAAAGGAGTTGCTACGGTGTCTCTCAGGTGTCAAAAACCTTTGATAATTCCAACTGCGATGTCTACCAGCAGCTTCAGGGCTAGTGATGTTTCAAGTAGTACGATTATGAGCTTTAATAAGTAAAATTATCCCAGCTACAATGACAAACAACAAATATTACATTTATAGTATTACAACTAAAACCGTTCTTGAAGCCGCCACCACAGTTTGTCCTTCATGAGCCTTCGTAGGCAAGATGGCGGCTGCCTGTAGTGGCGACCCGCGACCATGGAGATTTAAACAGCTTTTTATAAGGTAAAAATAATAAAACAAGGTCTTTGTCTGCAATGATTAGACATGTTTTTTTATTGTCATTAGTGATTATCTCAATTTCGGCTAAAATCCTACATACTGTGCCTTTAATGCACCGAGACAAACAGCATCCAAAATGTGCAGACAGGTGACAGGTGCATTCATATAAACAATGAATGCACCTGAATTCATATAAACATATGAATGTACCGTTTGCACACCACAGTGGCTTCACACGCGCACACGTGCGCACACACACACCGACTCACAATCACTCGTTTGCGTGACAAACATATTTTGCTGCTATTCTTACGTAGGATTTTTTTCTCACTCACATTATATTTAATTCATTATTTTCCTGAATCTAAAAATATTTTCTGATCACGCAGGGATCACTCAAACATGTCCATCACACAAGCAGAAAGTAATTTGCATCTGTTTAACATTTGTACTGTGTATGAAGGCATGTCAGGGGATGTCTCACATGCACTCAGTTCCATGTTAATTGGGATGTACAAAAGAAATGTGGATTCCAGTGTACGGCGTACTGGTTGGCCAAAAAAAAAAKAACATAACTGTTACTGACTACCACTTTTTTTTTCTTTATTATGACCCCCGCACGCGCGGGAGTCATATTGTTTTGTACTGATTTTTTTGGTCAACCGTTGCACAAAAACAGCTGCACCGATCAACATGAAATTTGGCAGGACTGTAGATGAGTCTGACCTACACTGCACCAGCCAATGGTTTTACAATAGACCCCATATTTGAGGAGGGGGCTCCATCCAAAGAGGTGGTGTCTAGACATGCAAAAATGCTTATAACTCAGAAACTGTTCAACGAAGGAGCTTCAGATTTCTTTTGTTGTTTAGCMCTGATGAAGCTCTATCCATCAGGCCCACCAATCAGTGCCCCCACCCCCGCACCCCTAATTAATCTGAAAAAAGGGGTACCTGAACATACAAAAATGGTTATTGGTCAAAAACTATTAAACATAGGAGCTTCAGATTTCTTTTGTTGTTTAGCGCTGATGAAGCTCTATCCATCAGGCCCACCAATCAGTGCCCCCACCCCCGCACCCCTAATTAATCTGAAAAAAGGGGTACCTGAACATACAAAAATGGTTATTGGTCAAAAACTATTAAACATAGGAGCTTCAGATTTCTTTTGTTGTTTAGCGCTGATGAAGCTCTATCCATCAGGCCCACCAATCAGTGCCCCCACCCCCGCACCCCTAATTAATCTGAAAAAAGGGGTACCTGAACATACAAAAATGGTTATTGGTCAAAAACTATTAAACATAGGAGCTTCAGATTTTTTTTGGTTGCTTAGCTCTGATGAGGGGCTATCCATCAGGTCAACCAAAGCCAGGGGTTGTAGCTTATTCAGATGTAGTTTAACATTACTACATGTAAATATAATAAAAATGAAATTACATAATACATAGTAAACGTCAAATAGCCTTTTAAACAAWCAGCTAATGTACAAATAACTCAAAATATCACCTTCTCCCCAGCATGAGAGGCTGTTAACCTGCCTGCAGGGTGTAGACATAGCTTTGCAAATCCAAAACAAACTAAAMAATATCTTTAGTTAAAGTGACATTCGAGTGCAAAAAAGTAAGAAAATAATCTATTCTGTTTTAAATCTTTCTAAATGTGTTGGTTGAAAAGTTATTAGGCATCAAAAAAATCGGAGAAGATGAGACAGGGTGGATTATTACTAATGACAGTGAGGTGAGTGAGTGAGACAGATCTCACCTTGCTGACTGGGCTCCGGATCAGCCTGGTTCTTTTTAACAGTGAGGTCCAGTGGGCTGTCCTGGTCGGCCATGAGAAGTTTACTGAGGACGGGGTTCTGTGCAGAGGCAGCGACTGTGCCCCCTCCTTCTTTGCTATTGCTGCTCTGGATGCAATTGGGGGCTGAGTCAATAGCAGCAGAGGTCGGGCTGAAGCCCACTCCCGGTGTTGTGGAAGGAGAGGAGGAGGCAGACGATAGAGGAGAGCTGGGCAGCGGCACGGCTGGGGAGCTGGAGGCCAGAGTCAGAGACACTGCTTTAGGCAGGTTTTGGTCCTTCGTAGTGCCGTTGGGCAGGGGTGGGTTGTCCTGAGTTGTTTTTGAGGTATATTCGGCAGCGAACTGGTGGATCATTCGCTGCATGATCTCACGAGCCACTAGAGGAATGTGAGGGTCCGATAAACCTGGGAGGTCTGGAGAGGGAAAAAACAAAGAKACAAACATTTCAGTGAGTCATCCTCCAGGAATTTGTTCAGTTGCTTATTTATTCCATTTCAACCTGGTTATCTAATAATGATGCTATGCTGAAATAACGCAAAAATCACTCTGAAGCACCGCTTAATCCTGCCTATTGACCATGTTCAGAGGTGGGCACCAGTCCGCTAAAGCATAAATTCGCTAATTGCAGACCTAAACATTTTGTTTGCGCTTTAGCTCTTACTAATTTTTGTAAGTCTTAAGCAGATTTGCGCTATTTAAATTTAAATTGCAGTTCCGCTAATAACTTATTATCTACCTGTCATCATTATGTTGAACAGCAGAGGGTATGGCTGTCAGGACTCACAACGCATGTGATCCAACCAACAGCTCCCCTCCCAGCTAAACACAGTTTTTGGGGAGGTATACGTCCTTCCTGACTGTTGCTTTGGGTCACGGTTCAGTCGGTTCTCATTTTAGTAGGTCAGCTGTGCAAAGTATTTTTACTGGCAGTAATCTAAATTACTCATATGGCTTCTGTTAAATTATAATAAACACAGTGCAAAAGACAATATTCAGRAGCCAGCAGGGATCCACATTTGACAGACATTTCCCACAATGCTTTGTGTCTGCTTACGTAGCAGGAAGGCAATGTTTAGTACTCCCTGTCCCAGTAAAAACAGTAAACGTTTGTCCATATTAAAATTTTTATGTATTGATTTATTTTACTTTACAATCGTAGCTCCCCTTTTTTAAAAAAATAAAGTTTAAACGCTGGAGCTCAATACTTGACGTACTTGGTCGAAGCAACGGGGTTATAGACTTATGCTGATGAAGACTGACATTTAGTGGTCAACTGGAGCAGCTACAACTACATGGAAAACGTCCTGATGCATCTCAGTAATCCAGGTAGAAAAATCAAAAAGAAAAAATAAGCAGGTCCTCTGGATGGTTCTTCTTTAGTGAAACGTTTCGTCTCTCCTCCAAGAGACTTCTTCAGTCTGATAAGGTTCAGGTGAACTGGAATCCAATGGAAACATGGAAAATTAAAATCCAAGCTCTTATTTTGAAGGGAAGATACTAGTTTCCTGTTCTCCATGCTTCCGTGCCTCGTCACAAATGTACCCAGAATGCATTGCTTCAGTTTTCCAATAAATAGTTTTAAAATTACTTTATTGATGCT